TTTTTTGCTTTTCTTAATTCCTGCCCAGTCACACACAGAGGAGCTCCATGATCTATATCAAAGTCTGAAATCTCAAGTCAGGTCTACAGGATGTTGGACAAGAAACTTTCTTTGACTGCTAGTGAGACTTACGTTTCCTAGACATTCTGAAAACTTTTGCTCTAAGAACCCCTTTAAGGTTTTAATTTCAAAATACAGACTATCACAGCTGGTTTAGATCATCAACTCAAAACAGTTAATTTCAAAATACAGACTATCACAGCTAGTTTAGTTCATCAATTCAAAACAGCTAAAATTTGGAATGAAGTTTTGCACCTAAACTATTGTTCTCAGTTTTAAAGCACAGTTATTCATAAATTTCTGTGTAATTACAGAAAATGCAACAAAACGACCAATTATTTTTTTAATAAATAGTCATGTTTTCAAACAGAATAAATTCTTTAGAAGTTTTTTTTTTTCTCATTTAATCCAATTGTGACTGGAGATGCTTACAGTTCATCAGGGACCTTTATAATTGAAACCCTAACAGCCTGAAATTATTTTCCAATTATTACTCAACACACCAATCGCCGCAGCAATACTGTTTATATCTAGCACTAGAAATTACTGTGATTACTTTTCTCTTTCACATGTGTCACCAAAGAAGCTAAAAGTAAGCAAAATGGAAAAAGAGAAGATAATTCCTGAAAGACTATGGATCTACTATCACCGATTCTAGCATTCACCAGGAGTAAATTACAGAAACAAAATGCATACAAAAATTCAGTTTATCCCACTTTGCTACCACTGAACTAGATACTTTTGAAAGCTGAACTAACAATGAACACATGAAAAAAAATTTTGCAGCAATTGTTGAAACAGGTATCTTCTATAATTGTCTAGTAATCTAGGGATGAAGCCAAAAGGAAATTATTGGAAAAATGAAAACAGACAGATGTGCAAACAACGTTGCTAGTTGTAGAAAGAGGAAATTGAGGGCTTATATTTCAAAACAGACAGATGTGCAAACAACGTTGTTAGCTGTAGAAAGAGGAAATTGAGGGCTTTATATTTTACTATAGGCATTAAAATGCTTAAAATACAGCAGCTCAGAGGCTGGAAACTAATTTTTCTTTTACTTGAAAAAAAAAGTCACCCACTTATCAAGGAGGAAAATCTTAAGACATTCTCTCTTAATTTATAAAATTGCTATATAATAATTTTTCTCTCTTAATTTATAAAATTGCTATATTATAATTTTTCCATCCATCCACCCATCCACCCATCCATCCAGACTATACATCGGTTCCATCCACCCATCCATCCATCCATCCAGACTATACCTCGGCAAATTTCTTTGCTGGTATTAATAAATGCAGAAAAAACAATTGCTTTTGTTTTAGGTGTTCCAAGTTTATCTTCTGCAGCATGAATTGGAAAGTGGATCTTTTTGGACAGTGAAGACTCTGGTCACATATCTTGCTATACAATTAAAACATTTTCGAGAAGAAAACATCCAATGCTGATCATCAGAGGCATGTTGAGGAAGAGCAGTTGAACTCTACTAGATGACCCCAATCCATGTGGCTCAGGTGATGGTAACCTGCTACACAGAGAGGGGCTGTGGTAGTCCTGTACTCCCTAAGGTGGCCTCCAGAGTGAGGTTCTGCAGCCTTGTCTCTTCTTTACCCACCCTTCTGATGTTCTGGGAAGCACACAGAAATGAAGACATACCCTCCCTTTCTGTTTTAAGATGCCAAAACACAATTAATGAAATGTTAAATAGTAGTGTGAAAACACTGCAAAAAAATTGCGAGTAGTTTCTAAGCCTGAAGTTAATTTTTATCAGAATGTATCTCATGAACCTATTTTAGTTATAAGCCCAGTGAAGATTTTTCCTACAATTGCTGTTAAATTTCTTCCTCCTTAGAAATACATTCTGAATGGACAGAAAAAATTATCTCAAAGCACAAAGTACTATGTTTATCACAGTAAGAATCTCTATCTGTTCTTATATAGAAAATTTTTTTCTAGATTATGTATCATTCTATTAGTACATTCCACTGAAGAACTGTAAGACATCTTACAGAGTTGAGGATGTGGAAATTGAAACAGGTAATCTCCAAATTGAGTTTTGGGATTTTCTTATAGGTTTAGAAATTGAGAAAAAAAAAAGACATTACCCCAAGACACAAATATGACTATGTGCTGCAAGACTCTGAGGAATTTTTGCCATTGGTTTTCATGAAAGTGTATGTGATACTGAACACCATATCTAGCAAGTGGTTGAAGACTGCCAAAAAAGAGTCTTACCCTAGTTTTCACCTTGTAGGGTTGAACACATAAAACATGCTGTGCTAAAGGAAGCTGACAGCAATGTCTAAGTTCCTTCAGTTAGGCCCAGTCTAGCAGTGTGCTCACAGCACACTTGATATTCACTGACACAGACTACCCACAAACACCATTGCAGATGCTCTTTTCTTAAAGATCATGATTGGATGAGCAGAAATAACACTGGCAGCCTATGTAAGTCCAGTGTTTAAAGCACTTGTTTGAAGAACAGAAGATTTAGCTCTTTTGTCTGTCAAATTCCATCACCTACATCCCAGGAATAACCAACACTGATGGAAAAATTGAACTACAGCGGGGGAAAACAGAAAGTCACTATTCATATCTTCTCTTGAAATTAAAACTGTCCAAAAATAAATCAGGACTCATAGGCCCAGAAGGATTTGCTGGGTTATGGAGATCTGGGTTCTAAACCCTGCTCCAAGACCTATTGCTGCGTTAAATGTTTTAATGTAATAATGATTCAGCATCAAAATGAGAGTTTCAGAAAATGAGGACCAAATTCTGTTCTGTTAGCTGAGAGAGGCCAAACTAATTTAACTCCCTTTTGCAGGAGAGACTCTCTTCCCCTGCTCACTCTGGAATTTTCTCCATTTGTTCCAGACTAAATGAATCTTTCTTGAACACAAGGGGTCTGCTCCAGATTTCAACCTTGCTTTACGCTTCTGCTAGTCTGGTTTTTCTGTTTCCTCAAGAGGAAGTTTTCTCTCCAAGACTTAATAGATATGAACCAAGGAGCCAGGAAAGCCCACCACAGTGCTCTGCTTCTAATTCACCTTGATAGTGCAACAGAACAGCTCTGCAACCCCCAGCCAAGTTTTCTCCCTTTTGTTATCAGCATATTATTCTGAAGTTTATTATCAGTAATACATTCCTAAAACATCTTTGCTGTCTGCAATAAATTCAGTGAATACCCATGTGCTCACAATACCTATGCATCTCTTTTCTTCTCTCCATAGGAATACATTACCTGGACAATTCACCCAGACTGTGTTTCCCTGCACAGTTGGCTCTGGAACAAGTTTTGTAGTGGCAAAGATCAGACATACGGGAAATAAATTTTGAAAATAATGTCAAAGAACAAATTATAAGGTAGCAGGGTTGGATTCCAGCATTATTCAACAACTGAAATTTGAAAGTGTGGGGAACATGAATGCTGCTCTCACCTTCCTCTCGGTAAGTCTGCATCATCTTTCTTCCACCGGACTGTGGGTGTGGGATCCCCCTGCACCTGGCACCGGAAATCCACGGCCTCCTCCTCCAGTACCACTTGGTTAATTGGTCGCCTGAGAAACGTGGGCCGCTCTTGAAAGAGACATTAAAATTCCTTAGTGAGTTAGAGGGTTGAAATGAACACTTTTTGACTTTTCAGCATCTTTTTGCCTACCCATCCACCAAACAGTAAGAAGGCTGAGCTCCACAAATTCAGACAAGTGGAACTGATGATGTGTATAAAGAGCCAGGAAGAGTGCTGCCAGGCTGGAGAGGCTGGGGGTGCCCCCACCGGCCCCCCAACAAAAGG